CTAATTTCATCTATCGGTGTCAGCAAATTTTCCAAGTATCAATATTTAGGTTGTTGCAACGATTTCGAGTACACATACTACATGGGCTGAAAAGTCTTTGGCTTAACAATGAAAAAACGATTTTTTAATGAAAAAAGTGTTTTATTCCTCGACATAATCTCCATTTAGAGTAATGCACTTAGTGTAACGGTCCGCTAACATTTCGATGCCGGTCTTATAGTGCTCGGTGTCAAGTCCCTCAAAATAGGCATTTGTTTCCAACTTGACCTCCTCATTCGAGTAAAATCTTTTACCAGCGAGCCACTGCTTCAGTCGGGGAAAAAGGAAATAGTCGCTGGGGGCCAGGTCTGGAGAATACGGGGAATGCGGGACCAATTAATAGCGCAATTTCTTTAATTTATCGGTCGTATCGCGAGCCGAGTGAGTTGGAGCATTGTCTTGGTGAAACAAAATTTTTTTCTTTGCCAAATGTGGCCGTTTGACCTTGACCTCGTCGTCCAATCGATCCAATAATGTACAGTAATATTCTTTATTGATAGTTTTACCATGTTCAAGATAATCAATGAATATTATATTATGCGCATCCCAAAAAATACTGGCCAAAACCTTGCCAGCTGATTGTTGTGTCTTCGGGCGCTTCGGACGGCTTTCACCAGGCAATAACCACTCCGCTGACTGCCGATTGGACTCCGGTGTGTAGTGATGGATCCATGTTTCATCCATTGTGATAAATCGAAGCAAAAACCCCTTCTTATTGCGGTTAAACAGGGCCAGATTTTGCTTTGAAAGTCGAACACGTTCCGCTTTTTGCTCAATTGTCAAAAAACGCGGCACCCAACGCGCGCAAAGCTTTTTCATGTGTAAATATTCATGAATGATATGACCAACGCGTTCCTTTGAGACGCCTATGATGTTAGCTAGCTCACTCAATTTCATTTTGCGGTCATTCAACACGATTTCACTGATTTTCTGGATGTTTTCTGGAGTAACTGCCTCATTTGGCCTTCCTGAACGTGGTGCATCATTTGTGCTCGTACGGTTACGACGAAACTCAGCAAACCAATATTTGATGGTTGAATTCGGTGGGGCAGATGTGCCGTAACATTTATCAAGCTATGCCTTTGCTTCAACAGTGTTTTTTCCCATCAGGAAGCAATGTTTAATCAAAACACGAAATTCACTTTTTTCCATAGTAAAGATAAATTCAGAGGTAACGTCACTTCGAAAACTATAACTTGTACACGAGTCAACGAAGTATCATGAAATTTTTACAGCATCTAAGTTACGGTTGGTACTCTATAGGAAATATAAGGATTTTTAGTTTGTGGCGCCATTTATATGTCAGGCCAAAGACTTTTCAGCCCATGTAGTACAAATTCTCGAAATGTAGGCCATGCGAACTTTCCAACAAGCTGATGAGAACGTTCGTCTTGCCGCAATTTAAGGGACTGCATATAATGCAGCGTATAGTGTTCGGAAGCATGATTCCATGCCTGTGCGCCTCTTGCTCAAGCATTGATTGCATTCTATTGTCGAAATTTGTCACACGTATCGATGTCGGTTGCTTGACGAACCGCATGTTTCCCCCGCGAGTCACAAAATTGATTTTGTTAACGAATCATTGCGATTAAACTATATATAGACGCGTCGATCTTGGAAACGCTCAGTTTAGAAAATGTTGCTCCTTCTGACAGATATTCGTGATATTCGAGAGCTAACCTCCGAACAGTCGAAATACATACCAAAGATTGTTTTGTTACGCGAATTTGCAAAGTATATTGACGATTTGTGGGACAGACACCCTGAACGTATAAGCGTCGATCCAGAAGTTCAGCAGTATCGTCGGTGTTTGGAACATTACAATCGTCCGTGGCAGCGAACGCATATCAACAGTCCGGCACCGCTGATCAGGGACTGTAGTGAATGCCATCGACAAAAGTCAAAGTCGGCAGCGGTCTGTTGAATTGCGCGATAAATGCGCTTCCTATCGAACGACACATTCCTGGATATCAATTTTTTGGTCCTGGAATTCGCTTAGTAAAAACGATTAGCAAGAGGCAATCAAGGCATTAATTCAATGGATGCGGCGTGTCGTGAGCACGATATAGCCTATTCGCGTAGCAACAATCTCGCTTATCGGCACGCGGCGGATAAGATTCTCGCTGTAAAAACGTGGAAACGCATAACTTCGAAAAACTCAATTCTAGGCGAGAGAGCTCCTGCTGCAGTCGTTTGGACTGCCATGAAAATCAAAACAAAAATCGGCATGGGCATGAAGAAAAAGAAGTCGCCCAAGAAAGCAACCCGAATACGAGCACTTCCAATAACAAAACGGGGTGATATTTTACCAGTTCTACCATTACTGGGTGTAGTCGGTGGAGCGGCAGGTGCAAAAGCGGTGAAATGATAGCAAAGCCGTGCAACGCTAACTGGAAGAATTAAAACGTCATCATCGCGCTATGGAAGGTCGCGCTATGAAAGGTCGCGGACTATATCTTATTCCGTACAAGCGTGGGCGAGACGCAGCGGGAGAAAAAACGTCAGAAACAATAAACAAAGAGAGGCTAAAATTACCTATGGGTGCAATGACTAACGTACAGCTGAAAAAACTAGCGAGGCGTATGTGTATATCTTTCTTTCGAGGTGTTTTTATGCGTGACACCTTACATTTCCTCTATCTATCGATGGAGTACATCAAAACGAGAGTGGTATTGTAAATTTAGACAACACAGAGGGACCAGGTACTCACTGGGTTGCGTGTGCAAAAAGGGGAAGTCGCGCAATATATTTTCATAGTTTTGGTAATCTTCGACCGCCCAAGAAATTAATTCGATACCTTGAGAGGAATGTAATGAAAATTGTGTACAATCACACGTCTTATCAACATTACAGTCAGAGCATTTGCGGACAATTGTGCTTACAGTTTCTCCAAACGCTAGAGGATTGATATGGATTTAAATGAAGACATTCCACTAACAGCAGTCAGTATTCGCTTGACAGTTTGCGAACATGTCGCTAACGCTTACGTTGACTGACAACAGTAGCATCCTTACGGTGAGCTACTTTCCCGCTATAGATTTGAGCGACGGTGATTATGAGCTTGGTTTAACGGATTTCGAAGCATACAATACGATACCAAATGTAAATTAATCAAATAATAAATTTTACTATGGTACTAACGACGAAGAAATTACGATTCCTGAAGGATCGTACGAATTTCGTGCCATATACGAATATTATTATTAAAATTATATTATATAGAATATTATATTTAAAATATTCAAAACGTGCAATTTCACATTCTCAAAAAACAGTACGTTCCAAAAATAACCCATATAGAGATGACGAGAATGAATATCCTATAATAATTCGTGCCAAAAATAATACGATGGAGAGCGAAATAAAATGTGCTTATAGAATAAATTTTAGCAAACCAAACAACATTGGCTCGCTTTTAGGATTCTCATCGAGTCGTATATTAGAGCCGCAACAATGGTACTAATCGGACGCACCGATTAAGATTATCAACGTTAATATCATATAGAATGCAGCGTTGTCAGTGTTGCGTACAGTATACGTGTACATACGATACATGAATTCTCGCCTAGGGTGCCCCAGGATATAAGATATCGCCGGCGCATATCATTTACCTTTCAATCATCGCACAGAGCATTACAGATTTAACGGTGCGTGTCGTTGATCAAGAAGGACAATCGCTCAATTTTCGAGGAGAAGAGATTACTATTAGATTGCATGTACGACGACGAAGATAATAAACATAATCTATGAAATGCTTGTGGTGAATCAAGTGGAACAGGAGAAACAAGCGGGAAATATATTTTTTACGAGACACGCGATTAACAGTACAAAATCCTTCGTTCGAAAGAAACTCAGCGCGTTGAACGTTGAATTTTTGAAATCTCTGGAATTCATCGTACGAAACGATTGAGAAAGATGATTGACATTTTGAACATTAGAAATGAACCGGTCTTTGACGATCGCATCGTCAAGGTTGAGACACATACGTAGAATCCATACGCTGACACTGTAACCGGACCTCTAATGGGGCTTAAGGGCGTCCCGTCTCCCGCAGCTCATCTGTCGCCGCTCAAGGACGCACCGTTGAAGATAGCAGGTTCGCGCTTTTCTAAGCACGGATCGTGGTCGCCACCCGTCCTGAACGGAGTATATATCAGGACCCTGGAGGATGGACGGGGACCCTCGAGGGCACTCACTGCACGTTTTATCGTTTCCAGTCTTTATTCGTGTCGCACTACACTTTTTACGCAGCTGCCGCGTCGTCGCCTTGCGTCGCCTCTCTCGGGGTTTTCGAGCCGGCACGTCCGGTCTCCTCGAACGCTCGAAGCCAACTCCTCCACCATTCCTCTCTCTCTCTCTCTCACTCTTCCATTCCTCTCTCTCTCTCTCTCTCTCACTCTTCCATTCCTCTCTCTCATTCACCCCGACGCGCCGGCGCAGACAGCTCACTTGCTTGTTTTGTACAATAAAATTCTTTTTCTTAAGCTGCTACATAAAATAAACAATCTTTTTCTTAAGCTGCTACATAAAATAAACAATCTTTTTCTTAAGCTGCTTCATAATATAAAAAATCTTTTCCTTAAGATTAACATAAAATAAACAATCTTTTTCTTAAGCTGCTACATAAAATAAACAATCTTTTTCTTAAGCTGCTTCATAATATAAAAAATCTTTTCCTTAAGATTAACATAAAATAAACAATCTTTTTCTTAAGCTGCTTCATAAAATAAAAAATCTTTTCCTTAAGATTAACATAAAATAAACAATCTTTTTCTTAAGCTGCTTCATAAAATAAAAAATCTTTTCCTAACATAAAAAATCCTTTTCTTAAGTTACACATAAAAAACTCTTTCTTAAGATTATACGAAAAATAAGATCTTTGCAAAACAAACTTCTTACGATTGATACGCGTCTTATGACTAATTTTTTTTCGTTTCCTTAAGTAAGTTCTTTGGTTACGTTTAGTTTTTCTCACTCTCTTCTTCTTCTAAAGCATCCGCCGGTCCCTTGGGCTTCTGGGCCTCCTCGACCGGTATCTCCGGAGGGTCCGGTCCGTCACGTCCTGGCTCTCCCAGGTTCGGGCGCTTCCGGTCCGGTCCCTGGGTGTTCCTCCGCGGCTGGTCCGGTTCCGGGGGGCTCAGGACCGGCAGGTCCGGCTCTGGAGGTCTCTCGCGCGGCCGGTCCGGTTCCGGACGGCTCTCCCTATGGGTCGCCATTCCGGTTCCTTCTTCTGCAACTGAATCAGTCAGTTCGGTTAGGGATTTCTCCGAACCATCCACACCCCCGACCACCAGCCCCGTTTTTGCCGGCGATTCCTCCGTTAGTATGGCGATCAGTTGTCTTTCCAACGGGTCTTCCGTCTCCTCCCCGTCTCTGCGATCGCCACCCCTTCCGCTCTCGTCCTCCGGCCTCGGCGGTGTTGCAACGGTGGGCGGTTGCAACACAACGTTTAGATACAGCGACGAGATACGAATACCCATATAATAGCAGGATTTATACATATTGCCATGTGAGAGTTATCTCTATGTCGAGAGGAAAATGACGAAACAAGTTGCAGTCGATGGTGCGACTGTAACGTTGGGATATAATTGCGTTTCATTTATGTTTGATGAGATCCATTATGAACTGGATGGTGTAGAGATTGATCGTAACAGAAACGTGGGAATAACTTCCACGCTCAAAAGCTATGTATCGCTATCGCTTATCTTCAGATAAAAATATTATCATGAAAAATGCTGCGTGGGAAACGACTGACACTATTTCGCCGGACGGGTACTTCAACTTTTGCGTACCACTCAGCATATTGCCAGGATTCTGTGAAGACTACAAGCGTATAGATTAATGATTAATGCTTAATGCGCGTATAGATTAATGATTAATGCGCGTCATGAATTGATTCTATTACAATTGCGCAGCGAGAACAACAGTCTATGAATCCTAAGATTGAGCTATTCAAGATATAATGGCGAATGCCTCACATAATCTTGAACAATATCAATAAACTTTCCCTGCTGGAAATTTTGGAAAACGGACGATACCTGAGTATGAGTTTCCGTTCGTGAGATTTGTATGAATTTTCTCTGTTGCAAAGCACGACCAAATACCTGTGGACCGTCAAAATTGCTACTAATTTGGAAAAACCTTGATATATTATCTTTGCGTTGCAGACTGGTCGTAAGAATATCATGTCGGAAAATATAACTCGATTCGATGACTGCAAATTGATCAATGCAAAGCTCTATCTAAATTCAGAGTGATATCCGTACGATGCCATGAATTTGGACTTTGCAAAAAATAAATACGCAATACTTTACGATATATATAGACGTTTTCGTAAAACGTATTATGGATGCAACAGTTCTGAGGTATGGTTAACAACTACTTTCTGCGGCTAGGTCCTTTCATGGTTATCGATTGTTCGCGTCAAAATGAGTCCGTCAAGAGCACCACTGTGGATGTGCGGATAGAATTTGAATGTAAGGAGAATATACTGACGAATACTACCGCGTACTGTCTCATCCTACATGATCGTGTAGTTAAATACAGCCCGCAAACCAACCTAGTGCGCAAACTCACTTAACATCAGAAAGTATGTACGAGACAAAAATAATACATGAGAAAGTATGTACGAGAAAAGAATAATACAAGAAACAAAATGCTGTAAACGGCATTTCTCTCTCGGACGTGTCGAAGAATGTTGTACCATAGTTGTGCCGACGTTTGTGGACTTAGGAGGATTCATGGTTGGAAAGAGACTTATTGTAAAAGAAGCAGAGATACTGAAGAACGGAAATATTCTTTCGCACTACGTCTTCACGAGTTCAATGCTATGGCATCTGCTCATAAGATCAGACAAATCGAGAGCCTATTGGTTAACGGCTAATCATCATGGATTACGATGGGAAGATGGAACTGCAGAGCTAAACATCTGATTGCTGTAGCTGTGACGGGTAATATTGTTGCGCTCACTTTCGCACTCGCGCTTGCACTCAGGTAAATGAAAACACCCGCGTAAGAATAACAAGCTTTACTATTTACAGCGCAGTTCACTCAAGCTTTAAACAAGAATAATTCTCTATTTGATAATTCTCAATTCTCGCGTCGGTCCTCGATGACAGCTAGTCAGAGATTCTCTGTCAGCTGTTGTTTTCTCCTTATCGATTTTCCTTCGTCCAGACAATCTTCGTTTAGTTGTCAAAATCAGATGCCTAAGGCTCACGGACAACGGACGTCGCCACGAACCTTGTGGCTCGGACACAACAATATGTATAGCGAGCTTGAAGCTGATGCATCTCAATTTGTGTGAAGGGGCATGAGAAACGAGAATGGTTGTTACACCTTCTGGATGACAAGGTGAGAAGCAGCGTGATCATTAAAACCATGGACACCGATTACGATGACATGCCTTCTTTGCAAAAATTGAATGATACTTTTCGATGTAATAATCGTATGAAGAATTGTGCCTTACAGAATGTACTAAAAATTTTCAATTGATGGTTTCGAAGAAAATTGTACGACGCTTAATAAAAACATCATTTCAAATGTACAGATGTTTCTTCCAACACGCTTATTCCCTTCCACCTCTTAGGATTTTATATGATAATTATGTTTGATAAAAAAATACAGTTCTTTATTTGCAGTATAATGCTTATTAGACGTTCGAGAGACGTTCGATAGATGTTCGATAGACCCCCCCACCTTGTCGTGGTGGGGGGGCTTGAAGGTCCCGATGATGTACAGAGCTGTGCCGGCGGGGGCTTCGGCCCCTGGCAGGTTCTACCATGCCGGAGTGGTCTGTACGGAGGGACTGGACTAAGAGCGCCTAGGGATGTTACGGCGGTCTGGCCGCAAGGTCAGGCTCGACCATATTTTGGGTGATCGAAGAGAAGGACCCACCCTTCCGACATTGCACGCCGGTGCTCCGGCAGTCGGAGGGGCAGGACCTTACCCTCGTCGTATAGGAGTGTCCGTCCCCAAGGGCATTACACGCCGATTCTCCGGCAGCCTGAGGGGCCATACCCGGGTCTGCACACCGTGGGGGTTTGGGACCCCCCAAGGTACCCGGGGTGGCGGGGGATCTCCGGGCCGCTCGGACGTATTCCGAGGTCGGGGCCAGGGCCCCCCGGGGTGAGCCCGTCCCCTCAGGCTGCCGGAGCACCGGCGTGCAAGTTTGGGGCCGGGGCCCCCCGGGATGAGCCCAGGGGATGGGGATCGCATCATCCCTAAACCCATCTCCTGGGCGGCGAGTGTTTGCTGGCTGCCGTGGGAGAGTGGTCCCGGGTTGCGACACCGGTGACCTAATTCCTTCTACGGGGCCCCCCGCGTGGCGCGCTCCTGGCGGTACCCCGATAGTCGAAAGTCGGGGGCCCCCGAAACCCGGCTCATCTCCCATTGATGGAAGTGTAGGGGGCTGGAGTCCAGTACCCGGGATGCCTCTTCACGGGACCGAGGCAAAGACCGGTCCCCGGGGGAACTCGGGGACACCACAGGATCACGTTTTCTTTGGTGCGGGCATGCCCGGCCGATCCAGCCGCCAGGAGTGGAGGGTTTCAATTCCAATGGCTGATGAATTTTCAAAACGGACGGAAACAAAGAAAAGGAGAAGGAGGAAGGCTGAGGAGGAATCGTCGGAGACGTCAGGGGCCTTGCAAAAGACCTTGGCAAGCACCATACCATCGGTGCTCCTTGACGAGGAACTGGGGTTCCAGAAGGAATTAGCTACTCTCATTCCAAATGGGGAGAATGGGATGTCTGGATGGAGCGACCGGAGGAAGGACGACTGGGCGGGTGAGAGGGTGTTAAGTGCCGACCAGAAGGAGGTTTTGCTGGACGCCTTTGAAGGAGCCCGCGAGTACATGAAGATGCTCGCGGACGATGCGAGGATTGTCCATGAGAAAAGGGCAGAGTTGCGTCGCGAGCTGCGGATCAGCCAAGAATGTAGAGAGGCTCTTATTGGGGGTGTGAAGACGAAGGACCTCGAAGTTAAGAGGTTGATGAAGAAGAGTGAGGAAAGGGCAGCAAGCCCTTGTGGCGGCCGTAAAGGAAGAGCTCAGGCTCCTCCAGGGCCAATTGGCTTCGTGCCGGGAAGAGCTGGAAAAAGCTCTGAGAAAGCCGGAACAGAGGACGGAACAGAGGACATGACAATGACTAAGGAGGCTTTATTGAGACTCAGTAGGGGAACACTCCCCACACAAACCGATGAGGAATGGGGAACCCCTATAGGAAAGGAGAAGGAAGAACAGAGACCGAAGGTATCGGCCTGCATCCAAACGGATGAGAAGTAGGGGAGGTCCGAATGGGGAATCTGGGAGGGAAAGGGGGCGGCAAGGGTTGACGCCTCCACACAAACGGAAAGATTTCCTTCCCCGGTATTAGGGAGGAATGTGATCCCGGTCGCCCCCCGCGAAGACGTGGAGTTGGCGACTGTGGACCACAGGAAAAAAAGGAGAAAGAAAGAGGGAGGGGCTGTTAGGGACACACTAGTGGCCGTTCCGGCCAGACGTCCCCAAACCCATCGGGAGGACGAACGTCGGGGGAGGTAAGGAGGTCGGTACAACCTCCCTCCAAACCCCCCTCCCCTTGGCAGGAAAGAAGTGGCCGCGGCTGGAAACTACAGCCACGGTCACTATGCGGCTCCCGGAGGGGGCCTCGTACGTGGAAGCCCTCCGTAGAGCCACGGATGAAATTCCCCTCGGGAATTTGAATATTTCTAGTGTGGACGTCGAGAGGAATGCAGATGGCGCTCTGCTGGTCCGAGTCAGGGAACTAAGCCCGAGGGGAAAAGAGCCAATCTGCTTGCAGAGGAGCTCCGCCAAGTGCTGCCCGAGGCTGCGATAGCACGCCTGGAGCGGAAGGGAGAGGTCCGCCTTGTCGGTTTCAACGAGGCGGCCTCCCCTGATGAGATTCGAGCGACCCTGGAAAAGAGTACAGGGAGCGCAGCCGGGGCCGTTCAGTTCGGCCCCTTCCGATAGGGAGTAAGAGGTCGAGGTGTAGCTTGGGCTCGCCTCCCTCTGACGGCCGCTGTCAAGGCCGCCAGGGCAGGGAGCTTTACGTTGGGATGGTCGACAGTTAGTGTCACCTTGCTGGCTGCCAGACCACCCCAATGCTTTCGATGTTGGTGCCCCGGCCACACCAGGGGGAATTGTACCACTCCGATTGATCGGAGCGGTTTATGTTTCAGGTATGCCATGAGGCTGGAAAGGAGGCCAGTCACCATATGGCAGGCCTAGCCTGCTGGCTGGCCTCCCAAACGATGGGGGCGGTGGGCGCAGAGAGCGCTGTCGTGCCGCCCTCTCAACGAGGGACCCGTTGGGGGTGGGCGCCCACAACTGGGGGGGAGAGTAAATAACTGCCGTCGGTGAGACGGCGGAAGCGGGTATGTGGTGACACACACCCGTGGGAAAGGATCGACGCTGGGGATAATGCTGGGGGGGGACATGCTTGCCCCCCTTGTGCCGAGGGGGGCTTATGCCCCCTCCAT